GCTGTAGATACTGCGGCCGCGCTGCCGCGGGCAGGGCTGTGTTTGAAGGTCACCAGGAGCCCAGAGATCCACATGTTTATATGGATTCTCCTGCAGAGCTCTCTTGGCAGCAGGATTTCTTACTCCCATCTCCCAGCCTTGGTGTCTCTGGAGGGTTTGGTGCTCAGGGAAGATGGGGTGTGCACGCCAGGGCTGTGACAGGAGCAGTGAGGGGGCACCAAGAGGAGGAGAGCAGGGGCAGGAGCTGGGGGACATTGTCCTCATCTCCTGCTGCCTCCCAGTCCAGCAGGGGAGTATTTCTGGCTCAGAGTGGGCAGAGCTTGAGCTTGGGAATTGAACGTGAAGTTGCTGGCAGGACACAACCTGTTGCCAGGCTCCACCTGGCCCAGTAGCCTTGTCCCATTCCCAGATGGACTTGTCCCCACACCAGCTCTGCCTACAAACAGTCTTTTTTCCTTTAATGCCCAGAGGCCCAGCAGCTCTCCCAGCACAGCCTGGGGTGGGATGGCTTGAGCCATAAGCCTCCCTAATCCTCTTCCTCACCTGCCACCCTTCATCCCCCCTCCCTTCAGATATGTCCCTTGTTCCCAGGCTGTCTGTCCTTAGCTGCTGTTCCCAGTCAGATCCCTGGCTCTCTCCTCTTGCCTCGGGTCTTTCTTGGCACCTTTGGACCCGCTCTGGGTGTCAGAGCAAGGGGAGCCCGGGGGCAGCTGCTCCTTCCCCTCCTCCTTTGCTCTGGGAATCCCCTCTTTCCAAGCAGTTCCTGTTGGAAGCCCCATCCTGTTCCTTCAAGTCCTGGTCAGCTTTTCTGCTCCACATCCCCCTGTTCCTCTCCTGACCTGGAGCTGGAAATACTTCCAGGAGGGTTCAGGCAGCTGGTTCCAGTTCCCTCTCCCTCCCTCACTGGGGCTGGTCCTCATCTCCCCCTCTGGGGAAAAGCCTGGAAAAGGCTCCTGGGCTGCGTGCGAAGCCCCGGCCACGATCACCCAGCAGCTGCACAAGAGGATTAGCTCCTAAAATATTCCCTGCAGAGTCCTGGCACTTGTAGCCCCTGGTGACACGTGGCTCGGGGCCGGTTGGGTGCTGTGGGTCACCAGCCCCGAAAAGGCTTTTGTGGGTGTGGGCAGGACCAGGCTGAACCTCCCCGTGTCCTTCCCCCCTCCCCTAGGTCTGCACAACGTGTCCCATGATCATGTCCAACCGCTGCAGCTTCAATGCCCACCAGAGGATGCACAAGAACCCCCCCCCCCATGTCTGCCCCGAGTGTGGGGGGAATTTCCTGCTGGCCAACTTCGAGGCCCACCTGAAGGAATCCTGCCTGCACTTCTCCCGCCGCGTGGGCTACAGGTAGGGCAGGGATCTGCTGGGCAGGGGGAACATGGGGAGGTGCCAGGACCCAAGGGAACAGGCCCAAGCCCAGATGGCAGGTTTTCATTTTGCAGAACAGGCAGGAGCCCACGTCCCTCCTCCCTGCTGGTGCTGGGGACAAGGCTGGGGGGGAATGTGTCACTTTACCCCCTGCTCTGGCTCTCATCCCTTTAATCCTGGGGGAATTTTCCTCCTTCTGGGACCCCCCTGGCCACTGGTCATGGCTGGCAGTGTCAGACTGGAGTGTCTCCTCCTCCTGCCTGGGCCCTGCACCCACCATTGCTGGGCAGGACTGGTTGCTCCAGACTGGGGTCCTCCCTGAGCACAGAACTGGTTTGGACCCTGGTGTCTGTTGGGGCAGGGGCTCTTCCCAAGCCCCATGGTTGGACAGGGAGCAGCCATGGGCCCTTGTGCTCCTGTTCCTCTTGGCTGGTAGCACTTGGTGACACAAGTCTCCATGTCACAGCTGAGCTCCCCACCCTGCTTGTCCCTCACCTCTTCCCTCCTCTCTCAGGTGTCCCAGCTGTGCCGTGGTCTTTGGTGGGG